TTATCATCTTTAAAGCGCTCCATGGCATCGGACCTGGTTATCTCCGAGACCGCCTTCTGCCGCAGATTACCTCTCATCGGCCGATACGCTCCCACAGAGAGGGTCTCCTCAGGGTGCCGTCAGCCAGACAGTGCCGGCTGGCAACCCCCAGGGGGAGGGCCTTCTCGGTTGGAGCCCCCACCCTATGGAACGAACTACCCCCAGAGATCCGGGTGATTCCGGATCTCCCCTCCTTCCGCCGCGCCCTCAAGACATGGCTATTTAAGCTAGCAGGTCTGGAATGGCCAATTAATATTGTGTTTTAATTACTTTTTAAATTCAGTATTTATTGTATTATGTATTGTTTTAAATGGCTGTAAGCCGCCCTGAGTCCGTTGGGAGAAGGGCGGGGTAGAAATTAAATAAAAGTAAAAAAGTAAAGTAAAAGTTTTGCACCTTAATATTTGTTGCAGTAATATTATCTTTTAAAGTCATGATTATGATAACTCCCTTTGCTTTCCTCTCAGTAAAATAGTCCTTAATCACTTCTTTGACATAAAATTGGCCTGAAGTATAAAGTATTTTTCAAAGAAGCTAGTGGAGGTTCAACTTCTCCCTGCACCATTCTGATTAAAAAGCGTAATACCTCTAACTGAAGATTATCAAAGCTTTTAACTAGTTGTACTCACTTTAAGCAGCTTTTAATTTATTTTTAAAATGTATCAACTGATGTCAAAGACTGATTTCAGGATTCCCTAATGTTAACTGGGCCAAATCTAACTTCTGAAACATATTATGAACACAAAGCCAACTGAGAAAGCAAAATACAAAGTGCATTTCTTAGTAATAGAAAGCAGTTATATGACTTAACTTCTCATGAACATTTATAAATGGAGATACTAGTTGATGTTAGCAATGGGAATGCATAGACTCGAGATTGATATTCAATTATTTTAGACAAAAATAAGATAGAGCTGTTAAGTTAATGAAACAAAACATATAAACAATAAAATAATATCCATTTTGGTCAACACATACCAAAAAATGGTGGCAAGTTACAAATATGGGGGGGGGGGGCTACATATATAAGCTCCTGTAAAATTCTGTAAAAAGGGCACTAGCAATTGCACCAATACCAATTTCATGTAAAAGCAGCAAAAACACAAATATAGAAGTTTTTTTTAAGAATCTTAAATCAGCAAAAACAACTAGAGCTGGCATATTTAAAGTAAAATTTTAATACTGACAGAAACCAAACTCACAAATTTTGTAGCATGTTCTGACTCTTCTTCACTCTGAGAATGCTGGGGCAATTTTTCATTATGTTTTGCAATGCAGATTTCCTACAAAGAAAGAACATTTTTCATTTAAACATGACTTTATGTATCGATCCTGTCTTTAGTAGAGGAACTGTTAAGGGCTATAGAAAGCAATTTAAATTCTGATTTACAGCGGAAGCTCTGCCACAGACAATTTATTTATACAGTATTCTATCAGTGTTAAGGTATAATATGTGAAAATCTGTGATTGTCCATGGATCCAAAGACCTCTCATTTTTGCAAGACAAAGAGTAACACTTTGATTGGTACACTGATTTCTTTGCAATAGAATTAACAGAAACAGGTGGGGGAGGAGTCCTGATCATAGTAAGTTTGCAAACTAGGATATAGCAGTTAGTTTGCCACAGAATCCCACCCTCCATAGGATTTACACTATAGAGTAAACATTATTTAAGAGAATGGAGGATATTACAAACTGAATAAAACAAAGAGGTTTTTTTCTACTGACATAATATACATGCATGTGTGACTTGAGGCTTTTGACTAGTTTTCAAGTATTATGTCTCTCTCTCTCCTGCTTTTTCTATAAACATAACAATAGATAAATCATGCTTAATCCAATTGAGAAAAATATATAATTTCTTTAGTATCCAACTGAAATTAAAATATACAGTTGTATTATGCAATTGAAGTTAAAGCATAATTTCATTTAGTTCCAAACTGGTTGTATAAACCCATTTTGGATGCATTATTTCTAAGGAATCTAAAAAATAATTATTAATCCCTGACTAATATAACACTAATTAAAGATATATCTCACACTCTTCAGTCCTACAATGGTGTTTATAGCAAGGAAACAAAAAGAGGAATGTGTGTGCAAGTGAATACTATCACCAACCATATTTTGGGCAAATTGGCATTAAGAAAATATTACATTTATGGCTGACAAAAATATACAGCAACAAGTGATTTTAATTCTGACCATTTAGGACTTATCTAGGCTATATACTGTATACCTGAGTTGAGCAACCATTTGAAAATGAATAAAGATGGCACAGAAATGGCCTAATGCAATCTGCCTTAGCATTAGGTTTGGCTGCTACATTTCAAACAAATAAAATTGTGTCTTTAAGTTAACATCTCTTGATCTTAGCCCTGCAAAATCTGTTTCCTGAAAAATGGAAAAATGAACAAAAATATTACCTTCTTATTTTTGAGGTAGGCTTTTTTGGCAGAAATGCGACCACGCCTTGCTTCAAGTTGACGGACTTTCTGTTGTAATTTCTGCAACTCTTCTCTTTGCAGATGTATGGATGCTGCCATATCTTCTTTTTCAAGCATGGCTTCCATACTTTCATAAGTATCATAATATACTACTTCATCTCTTTTTTCTGTCACAAAATTCCAAGTTCAGGTAAGCAAAACTGTAGTACAAAATGTATGCAACAATCTGAAAAGTTTTTTTTTAAATATTGTAAATATAATTATAAGATTAGAACATCTATCTCTGCCTATGCCCTAGGAGAGAAACAAAATCACTTACAAACTAGATTACAGAACAGAGATTTTCCCAGGCTTTTTAACTGGCTTTTAATTTATATTGTTTTGATTCTGAATTATTGCTTTGCTGCTATTTAGTTTATGTTGTTTATGCATTTTAATTGATTGTATTGTGTGTGTGTGTGTGTATTATTCCAAGTGTATTATTTAGGGAGTCTTATGTAAACCACTCCGACTGCTTCAGCTACAGGGCAGTGTATAGTGCAGTGTAGTGTAGTTTAATATATAACATAAATGTAAAATGAAGTTGAATGAAAACAAAGCTATATTCTTATATGGTGATTGTGGTAAGCTGGTAGTTACCAGTATGGAAAAATGCATGAAACGAACATTCACAATTTAATTTTTTCTTAGATTGCAGCCATAAATTCACTCTATCATCAGAGACCAACATTGGACTGTTCTGTACAACAGTTTCAATAACTGAACTAGGAAAGAACTAAAGGGAGGCCTTAATGGGTGAGGCACATTTTTTCTTCTTTCTCTATCCCTTCTCATATAAAAAATGTTTGAACAATCTAGAGATGGGGGGAGGGAACCAAACAATTTCTGTAGGCAATCTCTATTATGTCTGATTATTTTTCTCCCCCATGCTTTACAGAGTGGAGAGATTGCAGAGAAAGAGTTTACAAGAGAGTAAGAAGACACACAATGGGAAATACACCGGCTATTTGCCTAATGTGCTTAAGGCTACCAGCTCCATCACATTATTTTCTATGTGTATTCTCTATTCAATGCCTGCAGACTCTCTTGTAATTTCTTCCTCTCCAATATCTTTGATCTGTAAAGGAAATAAAAGAAAAATAAATCAGGCACAGGACAATGCCTACAAGACTGTACAGGTAGTCCTTGACTTATGACCATAATTGAATCCAAAATTTCCATTGTTAAGCAAGGTAGTTACTGAGTTTTTCCCCATTTTATGATCTTGCTTGCCACACTTAAGTGAATCACTGCAATTGTTAAGTTGGTAACATAGTTGTTAAGTGAAACTGGCTTCCCCATTTTGTTTGTCAGGTTGCAAAAAGTGATCACATGACCTGGGACACTGCAACTCTCATTAATACATGCCAGTTACCAAACGTCCGAATTTGGTGGGGATGCTGCAACATAAGTGTAAAAAACATTCATAAATCACTTTTTTCAGTGCCGTTTTAACTTTGAATAGTCACTAAACAAATGGTTGTAAGTCGAGGACTACCTGTAATGGTGATTATGTGTCTGGAGGACTTTGTGAAGATCATAAATGCTGGCATTGTTCATGAAATTATTTTTTAGCAGTGTCATAACTTGAAACAGTTACTGAATGAGGCAATCAGTAAACAAAGACTACCTATCAGTCACATCAGTCAATAGTATTGCTAAATATATAGATATAAAACAAATATATGTCACCTGAAATAAGTCTTTTAATGCTTTCAAGTTGTGCTGTCAGTAATAGTTCTTCACACTTCAGAATTTCAAACTGCACTTCATACAATTGAAGTTGCAGGTCATAGTAATCAGCTTCAAGTTCATCCAAATGAGCTATAGCTTCTGTGCCCCCTTGCAAGCTCTGCATCTACATTTTTAAAAAAAGATTAATAACTACATCAAAAAGGTTATAAATCTTAATCTTACCACAAAATAACTGCAAAATATTCTATCACAGAGCAGGACATATTAAATTAGAAATCAAAGGAAAGTAAATATTACTATTCATAACCATAATAGGATTATTATTAATAACCCTATTATTCATGATAATAGCTCAATTTTATATGCATTATCAATGATCATTTTTTATTTTTGTAGAAAGAAAATCTTTAGATAAATTTTCAAAATTTAACATAGTAAAATATCTTACTGTGCTTGGAAATAGTTGAATGGCTCAACAAAAGTTTATGGGGGAGAAAGAGACCCACTCTTTTACACATATTCATGTGTCTAATACATATATATTGGATTAATACAGCAGAGTGAATTTTAATAGATTGCTTTAGTATAATCTTTTTTTCTAAAATAGTTTTCTTTGCCATATATTCAACATAGTTACATTTGTCCTCACATATGTTGTTAAGATGCAAATTCAGCAACCATAATACCACAAAAAACTTGATTTTAAAAAGTAAAATAGTAAATTGAAGCAACATTATTAAGTTAGTTAGTAAAAACAACAGTTACCCAGTTTCAAAACGTCATCTTTTCAGAATCTACTTGGAAACAATTCTTTGGGGGCCCTGAACACACCGCAGCCCAAACATTAAGTTTAAACTTAATTCCAACCATTACGTTGAAGGCATGTAAATATATCTGATATATTTGTAATTCTCTAAAGTAGAGGTCCCCAACCCCCGGCCCACCACCCACTACTGGGCTGTGGTCTATTTGCAACTGGCAATGTGAGCAACGGTCCGGTGAGCATGCGCACGCACATTAAATAATATCCATGAAAGAAAAATACTAGACAAAACAGAAAAAAGAGTGAACTACTAATTACATGACTTTGAATTTACTTATTGAAATTATTTTATCCAGCCTCTCCAATAGCTACACAATACTCTTAATTAATTTCTAATCTCTTTTCAAAGCAAATTTTAATCATTAGCCAACAGATTTACTCTTGAAGTTCCTATCAATTATCCTGAAATTTAGCACTATAAAATAATTTTCAAGTTTCCTTTTAAGTTGAATACTCATCAATTATTACCTCTTCTTTTAATGCATGCTTCTTCTGTTCTAAACAGATTTCTTTTGCTCTCATCAATTGCAAAGTATCTTTAGACACTGCATACTGAAGTTTTTCCATTCGTTCCACTGCTGCTGCCCAAGCTGCCTTACCAAACTTTTTCTGGTCTGCTCGCATACGATCATATACAGCTGTAAATAAAATTTAATAGCAGGCTTATCATACTTGGAAATAGTTTTATTATAAATCCTATTTAAGTACATCAGCTTCCTCTTTATGCAAATAAATGTTACAATCTTCAAATCAGTAGTTATTTTAATAAAATGTTTGGGTTGTGTTTTTTTTGTAATGTAGTATTTTTATTCTTATTTAATGTGTTCTATAGATTGAAGTTATTTAATGGCCAAATTATTTGTATTATTTAAAACAACTGGAGAAAACACACTAAACCAATTAGTGGGAAATTAAGGAGGAAATTGTAGAAAAAAATTGTTTCTTTAGTTATAGTTTTGCTATAATTAAAAATTTATATACAGAAAAGAAAGTATCCATGGATTTTAGTTAAGAACCAATAGCTTCTTAACTTATATAAGTATTGAATTTGTAAAGGAAGAAATCTGAAGGGGACAAGAAAATTGTAAGAGACACTGATTTCAAGAATGAAACTCAATATAAACTTATTTCTCAAACTTCAATTCCTTGTGTTCAAAGTGGAATGTACCCCACTTCACAGAATGATGCTAATAATCGTATTATAGAACACCCTTTCCACATAATATCACAGATCGAATAAGCCCCTTCGATCAGGGAAAACCACACCAATTGGTGATTTGAGTAGAGAGATTTACATAGAACAATTATGATAATTTGAAAAACTGTAAGGCTGCAAGACAGTTGAACACAAAATTTTTTTGGGACAGACAGCTCTAGGAGCAAATGTAAAATAGCTTGTCCATTACCTTTTTGTGCTTTTGCTGTTATTTCAAAGTACTTTACTGTAAGGTCCTGTATAGATAATACAGCCATATGAGCCTTCCGTTGCCAGTCAGTATCTTCTTTTTGAAGGCTTTCAATTCTTCTCGGTCCTAGGTAATCATTCTCCATGGAAATCTGAAAATAAATCAATTCACTATATCCATCATGAAATAAATAGCAAGGGACAAGTAGTAAACATATAATCTTGCAAATATTAAATAAGGAAAATTCCTTAAAATATTATCATGGACTTTCCTGAATAGTAAAAAAATATTTGGGAAAAATGCAAAATGAACTAATGGTAATTGGACAAACTCTGTTTAAAAAATCATTCAGTACTCCTTTATAACTTTGCTTATTTGCTTATCAAATCTTAAATGGGCATTTTTTAATGTCCTTTTTCCTACTACTGAAAAGGAAAATGATAGAAACAAGACACTGCAATCAGATCTAGGGAATAAAAAAAACTAGAGATGTAAAGGTAAAGGAAACGAAGTAAGCACATAAAGAGACATCTGAAAAAAATCTCTCTATCTTCGTCCCTCTAATTAGTAAATTTTCAAAGCACATCTTCCTATTCTTTAAAAGTCTTGCAAATGGAGCACGCTCCAGGGAACTTGTTAGGCATTTAGAAAAAATAAGCACTTTAGATAGGGGGCAGGCAAAGGATTGCTATGTTCCAGCAAGATGATAATGCTGGAGTACGAAAACAAGAAGAGAACAAACAGTGGAAGGAATTCTCTTAGTAGAAAAATACTTAAAATACTATATTGAACAGCATTTTTAAAAAGCCTGAAACGGGTGTGGTGACATCCTTTCCTCTCTTCACATCCTAATTACACTGGAAAGGAAAGCAATTGAGGAAAACTTTACAGATGACACTAAATTAGAAAATAGTCTCTGTCCAATTATCTACTTCCAGGCAGCCTAATGTCCCCTGAGCACTTTTACTTGATAAGAATAAATAGGTCCTGCCCCTTACTTTTTGGCAAGTAGTTTGCTGAAGATTATCCACCACTGGGGCATGGGATTTATATTTGGACATATGGCCATTCTTTTCTTTTTTTACCTTAGTATCTCTTTGCTATCATTGGAAGAGATCTGGTAACATGTTAATAGAATAAGACAGCCAGTAGCTGCACTTCAAATTAAAGTTTAGAAGAATGAATTACTCATATTTAAGACTGTAGCTCCTAAACAATCAAAATTCCTGTAACAAGTTACCATTTATTGGAAGGATATATTTGGAAGAAAAAGTGGCACTGATGGCATAATGATAAATAGTTAAGTAAAGAGTTTTATTGTTTATTATTATGCCATCAGTGCAGTACAGTATGCATCCCCAAGAAGAGACCATGTGGCCCAGGAACGAACCATTCTGTTTTGTTGCCTTCACACAATCTGCAAAGTTTCTGCAACACTGTGCAGACATTATTAAGGAAGCAAAACAGAGTGGTTCATCCTTGGATTGTGTGACTGCCTCATGGAAGCAGCCAACATTCTGACACACCTGCAAGGAACCGCAGTCATGCTGAAAATGATGGCCACTTCTAGGAGGCAGCATGTGGCCCAGGGGCATGTGGCTTGGTCTCTTTCCCCAACATGAGGTCTGGAAATCTTAAAAACATGCAACATATGCATTGGGTGATGGCAATGTGGGGAATAGGCCTAAGGCTTGTGCAATCCTGGTAGGGCAGGATGGATGGAAAGAGAGGCAGGGGAATGTTGCAATGTCCCTCCAGTTGCTCATAAGGGTGAATGAGCGCATGGGAGCTAAAGTGGCCATAACTTTGAAACAGCATTATAAGTAGCTTGGGGGGGGGCCTGTCATAACTTCAAATAGCCATTAGGTAACCACTTGGAATTGAGAACTACCTGTACTGCAATTAAACTAACTTAAATCTGCTACTATCTTAACAAGAATTCATTATAGTTAGAGGTTTGCTACGAAAATATTTAGTTATGGACGTAGAAATAACTGGATGGTTCAGAAGACAGCACAGTTGGTGTAAGAGTCTGGACGAGGGAACCGTCTGGCTTTTTTGGGAAGTTGACCGAGAAGCCATGTAGTTGAAGTACCTGGATGGTGTGTCTCACGTCCTTCTGCGCAGCCTGGAAGGATGACGCCTGAATCAGGATGTCGTCCAGGTAGCACTGGACACGAATATGAAACTTCCTCAACTGGGCGGCCAGTACGGCCAGGA